CATTTTTGTTTTGTTTCTGGAAAAAGAGGTTGCTTCCCATCTGGTTACTGAGGGCTCGGTTTCAAGTGTTCTTATGTTTTGCTGATAAGATGTATGCCACTAACCATGGCTTGAAAAAATCATCGAAAACCAGGCCTAGAATTTTCTTACCATTACATTGCTTTGTTCTATTGTGAATAGACATTAGTAGCAGCACATGTAGTGGCTCTCGAGTAATGTGATCTTTAAGAATGGACAGGAAAGCAGCACAATTAGCGACCCTGTCCCAAAATTATTTACTGAGCAACTGACAATTGTAGTAATGTTAACCGTGACAGTGACGTTAGGGGACCAACGCTATATGAAAGGGAACTTTTAATCCAAAAAAAATAACAATTGCTGGACTCCTCTGCTGCAGACTCCTGCTCCACCTTCAAAGATGTTAGCATGCCTGCTGATGTCTTTGCAATCTCCTCTAATCTGTTGCTTCTTTTGGAGAAGCAATGGATTGGAACTAGGCATGCGCAGCCAAACGCCTTGCTCCTCCAATCAAATGCTGCTATCAGCAGCATTCAATTCTAAGACTGATTTTTCCTCGGTCTGAAGGAGGAAACGACCTCTAGTGGTTGTCAGGAAGACAGCCACTAGAGTTGGATTTAGACCTTATATGAAAACATTGCAGTTTCCACTAACAGTTGAGCTAGTGCATTAATGCACTTATGCGCTCTACATTCTCATGCTTCTAAATCTGAAGACTGGTTCCTGAATAATATTGTAATTGTCTTCAAGACACAGCACACTTTCTTTTTTTTAAAATATATATTGATAAGAAATTCATGAAAATAAGTAAATAAGTAGACTACCTGAAAACATAAAGGTGGAAATGTCATACGGTATTTACTTGAAGCTAATGCGCACCTGTCATACCAAAAGCATGAGTTGGTGTTTGATGTATTGATATATGTTAAGAGTTGTTTTTTTTGTAAACCTTGGGATGACGTTTATTGTGGTCTTTTATCTGGCACCAGGCCTAGACCATAAAACATCTAGATAGCCATCACCAGAGCTGGACACAAGGAATTTCATAGAGTGGGCAATAGACTGGCAGACCAACCCCCTCTGATCCCCCTCCTCCCCCCAGGGTCTGCCCACTGAGCAACAACTAGTTTAGATTTATTAATGAGGGTGCTGGACTATCGAGAGAGTTATTCATTTTTTCTTTGGTCAGCAACTTCTAGGAGACCTTTACCATCTAAGACTCCCACAAGAATTCTATATGGGGTAACTACATGTAAGGAATTTCTTGTGTTTTCTCCTATTTTATTTTATGTACTGTTTTGCAATTTGTTATCTGTATGTAATTTATTTCTGTATTTTGTACTCAGCACTGTGAATCTTTTTTGTCAGATTAAATGTTTACTTAATCAGCTTGTGTCTCTGTTCTCTATGAGCTTCACTCTCCAGAGGAAAGCTCAGGTAAACACGTTACCAAAAAGGGTTAATTATATGTATTTGATCAGTAAAAGTAGAACTGTGATTCTATAATTCTCCTGTGTGTGGGGTAACCTAAGACGCCCTGGCTTAAAGTCTTGGTGGTGGTAGTAAAGTGTGTACTAAGGGGGTTAGTGTAGAAGGGATTGCAGGGGTTAATTGAGTGGTTGCTGCGACTAGCAACAGGTAACCAGGGGTCTGGTGTTATTAACCCTGTCACTTCCACACTCTCCCCACTGTCTCGGCTGGGCCTACGGTGCTGTCACGAGCCCACTCTCGTGACAGCACCTTTTTTGGAAAATAAACTTTCCAAAATTTGAATGCGCATTATATTCAATGGCCCATTACATTCGGGGCAAAATTTGAATATTCTGGCGAAATTCATTCCGGCGAAAACTGGTAAATTCAAACAGGCATATTTACACAAGCGAATTAAAACTGGTGAATTCACACAGGCGAATTTCGTTCCTGAAAGAGGGCTTAAGAAAAATAGACTTAACATGTAACACTAAAATTGAAATACCATCAATGTTACTATGGTATATGGCAATAAACATTTTCATTGTTGTATAGTAGTATAAATGCCCATCACATTCGCAAGCAAAAACATTTTTCAGCTTCCAGTTTTTAAATATTTAGGTGCACATTAGCTTCAATGGCGCATTAGAATCAAGTAAATACAGTATATATTTTATTAAGAAAGGAGCACAAGATAATATATGAGGTTAAAGTACCAGATCTTCAGACAATGGCTGGTTACCAAATTATGTGATATTATGTTATAATACAGGGTTATGTGTCATCTGAGGGGACATGAACATGAGGTGGAGAAAGGGGCAAGAGATGAAGAGATGTTAAATAGTGAAGATGAGAACAAGGCCAATACTACAACCAATCCTACCTGGTCTTCCTGAGTGAGGAACATTCTGAGAAAAGGCCTTAGAGAGTTCCAGGTGTTGTTTCTCAATAAGTCCTCTCCATGAGTTTGATCCTGTGGATCTCAGTAGTTGACAAGTCACACAAAACCAGCAGTCACAGAGCCACCAATGGTACCAGCAATGCAGACATGTCCATTTGACAAGTATTTCTAAGGTTCTATGTGACAGGGTTTGGCATAAGGGGTAGTTACCATAACTTGACATCCTGCTGAGATCCTCCATGCCTTCCACAAGTCCCACATTATGCACATACATTCATGATGGTGCTAAAGGCGGCCAATCTTCTATTAAACTGTAGCCATGACTCTCCGATACCCTGGGCCTGTGACTATACCACAACAAGCATGCTCAGATGAGCACGAGTGAATTGTTGAGCCTTTTATATCCCCCAAGTGTGGCTGACATGGCAACGAACTAAAAAAAGAGCCTCTCACTGATTTATGTAAGAATCGCAAATAGATGTTATTAGAGGAAGATCATGAAACATGGCCCTCAGCTTGGAAACTAGTCTATATTTCTTGGCTGCCATTATCTATTACGAATAACGGCTGAAATGTAACAACACTGGAAAGAAGCAGTGAGAGAGGTCTTGTTCCTCACGGTAAGAGCTGCAGTCATGCAAAATGCTGGGGCATGTGACTCCACTCATCATTACAGGTTAACGTGGAACTGTCACTTTTACATTTTTCATAATGATAAAATATTTATGAAAAACTCTTGTTGACCATGGCCTCAATTTAATACTTTTGGATAAGCTTTTCAAATAAGATTTTCTGATATGTTCATATTTCGGGGCGGATGGTAATTTAAAGTTTATACAAAATAATAAATCATTTGAAAGGTTTATCCAAAATGGTTAGATGGAGGCCTGTGTTAGAATCCCTTAGATAACACTCAGTGAATTTTAATCAGGGTATAAGGCCAATAGGTGGCATCTTACGGTGAAATATGCTGCTGTCTCTCGAGATTTTCCTTAGACTATCATTTTCTACTGTCAAACTTTCACAAGATTTACAATCAATGCCAGTCCTAGCAGGTAAAACATACCAAAAGCTGAAGAAGCATAACAGAGGCAAAGATGGCAGCACCAAGAACAGAGTCAAAGATTTCAGCAGAGGAAGATCAGGTAACTATATCTCCTAACTTTAAAAATTCCAAGACCCCACAAGTGATAGAGCTGCTTTATGCCACTTGGCTGTGCTGATCAGTTATAGCCGAAGCACTGGTTCATGTGTTTTATAGGTGTTTCGGAGGACCATGAAGGCATTTATTAGCAGTACGGCCTACTAGAAATGTCAACAGAATGTAAAAAGAATGTCTACATTTGAGCATAATGCCCACTAATAGTAAATATGGTTAACCATATATTTCTGAAATAAAGGTATTAAAAACTGCTATAGCAATCATTATGAATTTGTGGAATGCTGATGTAATGCTAGCAGTGAAATGGTAGAATTCATTTACTCCCCCCCACCCCCCCGTAGGAATGATATGACCCACTGAAACTTTCTGTACTGCTTGAAAGCAGGGGGTGAGCTGACATTTTCAACTAATTTATAGACATTATATCTTGTAGAGAAATTAATTGGGCTCTGTGGCTCAGTGAGAAGGAACAAAAAATAAGTCATTGACTGATAACCATGTGATCAACTATGGCCATGGTGATCTATAGACTTCTTTTATTTTTTATTTTTGAAGACCTACTTCAAGAAATCTACTCTACTCTGTTATTTGGTTAAAGTAACAACCCAATCATCATAACCCCTACAGCCTGCTCTAATAATTACAGTGTCCAAGGGTAAGTAGTCAATGGTTTGAAAGCTTTGACCTTCAATATCAACTCTTCATACACTGATCTCTTGCACTATTCTTTGATTGTCCCATCATACAAGTCCTAAATAAAATAAATCTTTTGAACTAGTTCTACAACCACACCCAAATTTGCAATCTCTGGAAAAATTCTAAATATTAGAAATTCTTACAAAAGCAAATCCGATATTTTCTGTGGTTGCCAGAAAAGCTATTAGCATACCTGAATACACTATAAACTGCCTCCCTAAATCTGTTTATAGACAAATTATTTAAAAAAAATTCATATGGATTGCATAGAAAAATCACAAAAAAAACTTCACAACAAAAAAACCCCAAAAACTAACAAACCTTTTGTTTCCACATGTACCGTATATCACCTCATTATATACCCCTATTCAAAACCACATCAAAGATAACACTGGAAACCACATCTTCACACATGCTTAGAGTTCTGCCAATAACCCACCTATTTATCAATTCCTAAATTAAGCAGTGCCAGAATCACTAACACATTACTCAATAATCCTATGAGATTCTGTATCACACCCCTTCATCTAGTCTGATGTTTACTATAAATTTGTCCACACACAACCTCCCTATTGATGTATACTTGGTGGTATGGGACTGCAAATTAATCAGTTACTTTGCTTTGTCTTGTTATAATTGTTTTTACTCTGCTTTTGTAGTAAATACATGGGTTTTGTGGGGGGGCGGGGGGGGGAGGGAAGGAGGGGTTAAAAAGACATCACTTAGGGACAACTGTCTTATTCAAAAGCTTTAGCTGCCTCCCTTTACAACAACTACCTGTTCTTATTTCGTATGCTTTCCACAACCAATAAAGGAAATACAGTGATCTAACCAATCAATGTCCTATCCCTAGGAATACTGGAAAAGTTCATTGGGCGTGACGGATTTACACATGTGCAGTTGGAAGATCTCTTCACTTTGCAACATTCTGACAGGGGAAGAAGAGTAGAGGTGATCAAATTAAATTGAGAAACTTCTGTCATTCTGTATACGGATTGCCAGATGACTCCACTCCATAAAAATAAATCTACAAAAAAAAAAAAAGTATTTTTACATGGTTTTGGAAATGTTTTTCTTACTTTGACTCTATAGTGAAGGTTGTGTAAACACGAAGCATTCAGTGTAAGTACAGTGAGCAAAGAAAATTCTAAATGTGAACACTCTTGCCTTTATGTATATTTTGTTTATTGTGTACCAATGTATTTATATCACCACATTCCTTCCATTCTTCAGCCACGCAAAACAGATAAAAATGTAAAAGCTTATTTACTAAACCATCCTTTTACTTGAACTTATAGGACAAAATAGTCAAGCTGGAAAAATAAATGAGATAAAGATTTTTTTCCTTTTTTGACTACAATTTAAAATTCCCCTGTCACTACCTTCCCTATAATTTACAGATTACTGAATAACCATTATTATTCTTTAAAACTTCTAGTAAGATTTACACGTATGACATGTTTGTCTATCCTGGAAACCATTACAGAGGGATCAAAGTAGCAGCTTCAGGATGCTTAACATATGCCAAGACGATCTATTCACCATTACCATTTGCCCACTCATTCCAAGTCTATGAAGATCTACCCACTCAAACCAAACCTGCAAGCATCTTGTCATTCATATTGAGGACGTGCCAAGGATTTTTTGTAGCAGAATTTATATTCAGATTGCAGTACATGCTTTTAATCATATTTCTCTTTAGTCTATTGATACTGTAGTTCTCCTGCTTGTTGGCTCTGGACTTCGGCCCATTAAACAGGATGTGTAGGTGCAGAGTGAGTTCATTTAAAAAACACAAGGAGAAGTCGAAGAACTCACGACTGGAACATTCAAGTGAGCTGCAGTAAGAGGTGTTAAATAATTTCTGGTAAATGAGAATCAAGGTACAATGGGAGTTATGTATAAACATTGTCGCATTTGTGGTGCTGGAAGGATGCTTAGCACTATAGCTCCTCAAAGTTTCTTGTCCTTTTGGCTTGTTAGTCATTAAACTGCTAGAATGTAATCGCCTAGCTGGGATATAATATAGCAAGTTGTGCTGGTGCAGAATTTGAGCCTTTTACCAGGTATTGACCCTTTTGGAGCGATTCCTGAAATTGTGGCCTAGTTCGGAGAGTCAATGTGTGCAGGGAAGGTGGCCGGCTCCCTTGCATGACAGCAAAACAGCATGGTTGGGTTCCCGCACCGCAGCCAGTTTTCCCCCTCTTTTGGACTAGATAGGTTTTTCAGGTGCATCCTGGGGCATCCCTCTACTCATCTTCCAGAGGATATTATCTAAGCTAAGTTTTTAAATTCTTTATTTTTGCCGTGCATATTGACAGATTTAGGTTTACAATACCATGACAGTAAAATTGAAGTGACAATATAGCTCACAATGGATATTTGCAATTATGTGCCTGCACTGTAAGGTGAGGATTAAGGTCTAGTCATTCCAGTAGGTGTGTGTTCCCTAGGTTAGGTTGAAGTGTTTGTGGTTCTTGACTACATTTGTGGCCGAGTTCTCATCTGTTGCATTATGTGTTGTCCTTGGTGGCACAGGGATGTAGTGGTTGTCGTGTGCCTATTTGTGTCTAGGGCTCGTCTATTGGAATTTCTCTGTTACCTTTTCTGCGGATTAACTATGTGTGGGCGATCTTCAGGTCAGTGTGGTTTGGTGTTAACATCGTACTGGCGCTGTTCTGTAGCTCCTGACCTATCTGCCGTGCCCTCTAACCTATGGGGTAACGGGGGGGGAGGGAGGAAGGATAGTGGAGATCCTATGGGTCTTGGCGGCATACTGAACGGGAGCCTGAGTGGCTGACTGGGGCTCTGGTGTTCTTCTAACAGTGGCCAGTAATATGTATGCAGTCAGGTGTTCCTGTACCCTTGGTGTAGGGAAGGAAAGGTACAATGCTTAAACTTCGGGTGTAACAGTGATTAGATAACAGTTAACATTAAGTGGCTTAAGTTCATGGTTTGCATATGAGAGGATGTTCATTCAGTCTCTGGAGTTTAGGAATTCACTGTGCAGCTTACTAAGTCTCTGTTAAAATCGCAACCGGCGTGTACTTTCATAAGTCCGCTTTTGGCCCAAAGTTATTGGATTGAGTGAGATGTCTCAGGAGTGTCAGTGTCCCGTCTGGTCCTGGGTGTGAAAGGGGTGATGTTGCTCACATCCCATTCAGCTGATGTTGTCGGCGTGTCTTGCGTTGCTGGCAGCTCCAGTGCCTGTAGGAAGGCTGTACACTCAGAAGGACTAGAAGCTTTGAATTGTTTCCCATTTTTAGTCACTGTGAGGGTTCTGGGATGGGTCCAACGGTATGCCAGTCCCACGCTTTGAAGGGCCTTGGTGATTGGTTGCATGGATTTCCTCCATAGTAGCGTGGCTCTGCAGAGGTCTTGGAAAAAGGTGAGTGAAAATGATTCAAATTGTAATGGCGTTTTCCCCTTCAGAGCTGTGAGGATCCTTTGCTTATCTGCATGAGACTGGCAACATAAGATGATGTCTCTGGTTGAGGTGGTGGGCGCTTGGGGAGACTTAGCGATGCGGTAAACTCCTTCAAAGGAGAATTGCTTGGCCGATCGTGTCGTTAGTAGGAAGGCGATCAGTCGCCTGACAAAATGTGGGAGCTCCTCGGGGGGGAGCGTGTCAGCGACCCCCCGTATTTTGATATTTTTACTCCTGCTTCTGTCTTCTAATTGTTCCATTCGGCTCGATAAGTGTGTATAAGAGGAGTGAAGATGTTGTACTGTGTCCCCAAGGTTGTCTATGCCCTGTTTCAATGAGGTGATGTCTGCCTCTGTGGTGTATAGTCTAGCAGTTACCTGCTGTACCTCTGTCTTCACTGCTGTGATGTCCGTTGTGAAGAGCCTCTGCATATAGAGGAATAAATTGTATATGTCTCCTTTTGTGGATGGGGCTTCTCTGTCCCCTGACAAAAGGGACCCCAGTTCTGGCGTATTTTCCTCCATGAGAGTAGGTTGGGCTGCAGGCCGCGAGGGCGCCATTTCTTTTGCTCGTGGCGCTGAGCTGAGCATTTGCCCGATATCTTGACCCTTTCTGGCTGGTGTTTGGCTTTGCCGCGGGTTTTTTCGGCCCATTGTGTCGTCGGAGGGGTCGCCCAGGATGTTATTGGTGAGGAGGTCGAGAGTGGCCCCGAGGCTGCCGTTCCACTCCAGCCGCCGGCTGCCCGCGTGGTAGGCCCGAGATCCTCGGCGCCAGGTTTTAGTGGTCGCCGGGAACAAGACGGGCATCTGCGGGTTCGATGGGCCCTCGTGCGTGTAGCTCCGCGACTATTGTCCGTGTGTGGCTGATTTATTCGCCAATATTGTGGGTTTATTAGCTTAGTTGATCGGAGCCGGTCTGATTTGCGACCGTCTCCATGTGCTGCTTGGCTCCGCCCCCCTATCTAAGCTAAGTTAGCCAGCACAACGACAAATTGCTGAGATGGCTACCAATTTCCTGTTGCTGTGCCCAAAATGGCTCTTGGGAGACAGCCTTCAGCCAGGTCTACGAGACTATATGCACAGAGTTCTGGGTTAAACTGAAGTAGTAGGCCAGGAGGGGGAGTAGCAACCATAACCAGTCCAATCGGGATCCGGTGCCTTATCTGCTCCCCACAATGATTTACCTAGGCTGTAAGCTTTTTTTTTTTTTTTTTTATCTCTTAAATGAAAAAGAAGATAATTTCAGAAAATCTACAACTATGACAGTGGAAGCAAACTTGTCTAAAAAAATAAATAAAAAAGGCGCACTCTTTTGCTTCTTTTTTATATACATTGTGACACATTTGTGAACCCCCCAAAAAAGAACCAAAATTGAACAGGATATAAATTGATGGAAGAGGCTTAGTAAGGAATATTTTGGTGCTAATACGAGAATAAATAGGCCTACAATTGGCTGAACTTAACAATTATCTGTTGCCTATACAGTAATATCACTGGCACAGAATCCCAATACTCTAATTATGATTAAAGTCTAGAGTCAAGGCAACCACTCTGTTGCTCCCTCCAACAAGCCACCACTAAAAGAGGATATACAAGCAAAGCAGGTTTCATGGTCAGGCTTGGAGTAACTCCCACCATCACTCAATTGTTATAACTCAAGTGGGCTGTTTAGACACCGAAGAAGTTGTATGTTAGGGCAACTGCTATTTTGCAGCCTTTCATATATAGTCTATACAATCTTTCTTGGAAAAAACGCTGTATCATAAAGCAGTAAACAAAGGTTGTTTGAGGTCTTTACAGAACAGTAACGACAATACAAAGGTCTGAATGCACACCCTTGTTTGCGCATTATCTTCTGGCCTGCAAGGGAATTTGTTTTTCTTACACCTAAAAGGGAAAAAAGTCAGAGAAATTCCCTGGGAAAGTTTGCAGTTGTGAATTGACCCACCAGATTGTTATAAATCGCAGATAAGGTATTTAACTAGTTTACTACATGGGTTGTTAAGTGCTGCATTAACAGAAGTTGTCGCACTTTTGCTATGCATTTGCTCAACTGTACTTTATTTTATTAAGTACACATAAACATGCAGAATATTTTACAGTACACATCGGGTTAAAATAGCCGACTTCAATCAATCACTTCACCAAGGCGCTGCTCCCTAATTATACCTTACCTATTATACTTCACCAAGGCGCTGCTCCCTAATTATACCTTAATTAATATACTTCACCATGGCGCTGCTCCCTAATTATACCTTAATTATTATACTTCACCAAGGCGCTGCTCCCTAAGTTTACCTTAATTATTATACTTCACCAAGGCGCTGCTCCCTAACTATACCTGAATTCTTATACTTTACCAAGGCACTGCTCCCTAATTATACCTTACCTATTATACTTCACCAAGGCGCTGCTCCCTTATTATACCTTAATATTGACCATATTGACCTTGGCTTTGTTTCTGACTACGTTTTCTCTTTATCCTTCTGTTCTGGTTGTCGGCTTGCTGTTTACTGTGTACCAGACCCCGGCTTGTCCCAGTTTACGCTGTCTCTCTGTGCCCTTGATTTCGGATCGTTCCTGACTCTGTCTCCTCTCATATACGTCGAGTCCGGCCATTCTAAGGTCCGGTAGACGTATCTCTCCTCTGTGTTGTCTTTTGTTTTGCTGAATCCTGCGTGTTGGGGTATATTCTCGTTACACCATCTAGATAAGGCGTCAGCTTTAAAGTTTTTGGGACCAGGTCTGTAAGTTAAAGCAAGATAAGAACAAAGACCATCTCATCTAGCCTGTCTAGAAGATCGTCGTTTAGCATCACCGATATATGTCACATTTTTGTGGTAAGTTATGATCAATAGGGGGTCCTTGGAACCCTCTAAAAGATGTCGCCATTCTTTAAGCGCTAGTATAATGGCCAACAATTCTCTGTTACCAATATCATAATTACGCTCTGCTGGAGACCACTTTCTAGAGAAATACCACATGGATGTAAAGGGGTATCCTGACTCTCTCCCTGAGAAAGAACAACCCCTTACAGAGTTTCGGAGGCATCAACTTCCAGTATGAAGGTTTTGTTAGTGTCAGGATGTACCAAAATTTCAGCTGAAGCAAACAATTTTTTAAGAAGTTCAAAAGCTTCTCTAGCTTCCTTAGACCATATCATACAACTAGCCTCCTTACGTATCATATTGGTGATGGGGGCTATCACAGAAGAGAACCCTTTGATAAAAGGATAATAGGACTAAAGGTAACGTCTTACCGGGCTTTAGAATGGCCGGACTTAACATACCAGAAAATAGTCAGAATACTTGCCGAGGTCAGGGATACAGAAGGAGACACAACGGTGAGGGAAAGCCAGAAGTCAAGGATACCAGAATACAGGGAAGTTAAAACGAAGCCAAAGTCAGAAACCAGTAATAAACGCTCAGGAACACACTCTCGTATAACCTACTCAGGGAAACCACGACAGGGCAATGAGAAGAAGTAAAAATGTGTTTTAATAAGCCTCCTATTATGGACCACGACCATATTTGCACGTTCAGTAGCACTTTCTGATGGGTAATGCTGGTATAGGATGAGGAATTAACATTGTCAATGGCAACTAAAATATCACTACTGTTAGTTGGGCATGCCCAAGTTCGAGACTCACAGAGATTTTACTGGACATGTGCATGACAGACGAGCCTCGCAAGCAAGAAGCCGAGGGAGGCAACAGGAACATAAGTATGCTAGCAAGATTTCCTTTGAGTAAGTGAAAGTTTTGTTAAGCGTAGGAGAAATATATAAGGCAAAGTAGTCCCTACCGTGCCTTATATATTTTCAGAAAAATAAAAAAACAAAGGAAGAAAAGAAGAAATGATTGGGAGACAGGAAGAAAAGAAGAATCGATTAGGGAAAGATAAGCATGCCACTTTAATATCTTTAATTCTAAATTAAACAGAATATGCAATAAGAGAGATTTAAACATTCAATCTCTCTATCCAGGAAGTGATTATAAAAGCTGTGTAAGTCACATGCAGGGTGCGTGTGACTAGGGCTGTATAAACAAAGTGAATTAACTCCTAAATGGCAGAAAATTGAGCAGTGAGACTGTAGGGTCATAATCTATACAATAATTGCTGTTTATAAAAAATAGCAATGTTTTTATTTGTCAGCCTGTCAATCAGACAGGTGCTTGAGGCATTGCTAGAGGCAAAAAAAATACAGTCCTCACATTTGCAGCGAAGTCTCGCTGTAATATTTCTCTATTAAGAAAATCATATTGGTGCAGAGAGTTAATTGCAACACATGCACAGCAGGGTCATCAATGCTTCTCTATGGAGAAGTATTTGGTTGACCAAAATTATCTATGTGGATGATCTTTGCATTAGGAGAAGTGGTGATTGCAGTGAGACTGGGATGCCGCCGAATTAAAAGTGAATTTAACTTTATTGTTTTAGTTTATAAGGGGCGGTACTATAATCTAAACGGGCCTAGGGGCACATTAACATTAAAAAGGGATTTTTAATGTTAATGTGCCCTCGGCCCTTTTAGAAAGGTCCTCCAACACAGAGTTTTTTTTAAAAAAGCCGTTGTGTTGGGTGATTGCGTCCAACTTGAGGATGACCAGATCAAACAGTGTGAATCGATGTCTCTGTATTATATGTACTTCATATGGAGAACATTTGAAACTTTAAAGCAATTCTCCAAATTATAGGTTCCATTGATGCCTATTCACTGCGACACTCCCATAGACTACGCCTGACCCTGGGTGTAGCTCTTTATGGAGTTCCCCCTGATCCCACCCTTCTTTCTTTTACTTTCTTTTTGAATACAGTCTGCATTATATTTCTTCAATTGTTTCACATAAACATGTGACCCGGTTCATATGATTGTGTAGCAGCAAACAGAAAAATAGAGTATGGACAAAAATACTTTTTAGTTGCCCTTTAAGCTCTTAGAAATGTACAAACAAAAATGGATTTTCTATTCATAATCTGCTCTTATCCATGGTCCTTTATCCTAATCACTTATCTACTCTTATCAATAGAAGTACATACCACAGGCCATTAGAACCGGCACTGGGAAGCAGGTGGCAATTTTAAATATCCCCATTTACAATGTAACATTTTGGCACACACTGTTCTATAGACCCTTTTGTAATGGCATTAGCGACTAAAGTAATACAAATAAAGATAAACAAAGTTATGGATTTGTGTCAGTGCTTTAGAGCGACATTTTTTTAGTTTGTTTCTAATTCTGGGAGCGGTAACTCCCATCTTGCCCAGCACTGCATAGGGTGGCAGGGAATATAAGGAGTTGATGGCAAAACAAAAGGCATTGCCACTCTAAAAACAAAACAAAAAGCAGGCACTCTACGTCAATACTGATATTTAGTCCAGGGTCCACAAAGTGTCAATTGTCACAAATTCGAAGTCGATTTAAATTCAATTTAAAATTTTAGACCAAGTTAACAAATTGCAAAAAAGGTCTTCATGATTTTTTTCAGCTTTGTCTAAATTTAAAATTCACCTTTAACTCATACTGAATTCCAGTCAACTCACATTTTAATGAAGCCCCTCCACCAACACAAATTGCCCTGCAGCAATACAGAAAATACCAGTAAATATAAATATTTACCAAATGAGTAAAACCAGCAAAGGGTCCTAGTTCTTATAGCCATCTTGTTGTCCAGTCGACATCTCTATAATCTGTTCCTTGTGTCTAGTCACTTTGTAGACACACACAGCAACCTGCTCGGTGAATGATGCCTGCTCTCGCATTCACTGGGAAAGCAGGTACAGCAAATTAACTAAAACTCTTCCTACTTTCACTAAAGGGGTGTGTAGCTTCTCACACAGTAATTAAAGGAACAAGAAAGTGTTAGGAATACACCCAGTGGATGTGCCTAGATTTCGTTTGGCACAAAAAAAGTTTCAAATAGAATTCAACTCACCTTTTGCCATTGTTAAGGCTCCCTCGGTGCAGTTTACATCTCCACCTCTCACGACGTCATGGAGGATGGAAATGTTCCAATCTCTCTTAGAAGAGCATTAGGGGACCAGATGTGCATGTGCAGCAAGTGCTTTGCGCTTTGAATCAATACTTTCCTAGGGGCTGCATTAACATGACCAAATTTCATTTGGTTACTGCAGCAGGAATGGACTCTAGTGGCTCCAGTGCCACTGGATGTGTGTTTATCCCTGCAATGTACACATATCGGTTTCTAAAACAAAAAACAGCAATGTTTTACATTGCGGGGGTAAAACTCCACGGCACTCAGGCCACTGCATTGAGATGAAGTGGCCTAGGTGACTTCAGTGGTCCTTTAATATAGATAATCTAGAGGCCAATGTTAATAGTGAGAGCTCCTCGAAGAAGATTAATCAGCCATATATGATGCTAACAAAGTTGCAAGGATTAAACCCAAATAGGTTAGGGAAAAAAAATTCCAACGAGGCTCACGTTTTTTTCCTTTGCAGAGTAAGTAAGCTGTATGTAGGGGTTGCAGTCAGTAAAAGGGGTTATGGCAGTCTTGTCGGTGTAAGATCCCCTGTACTCACCCTGGCTGTCCACCGATCTGCCGTCGCCCCCATGCTGTTAGAGGCTTCATTCAGCCTCTGTGCACCCGACACTTTTTATGACGCAGTAGACGCGTGCCGGTGTCATGACGTCATGGGAGCTTATTTTGGGGGCAGGCGCCCAAGGCACAGTGCCCTGTTGTGGTTCCTAGTGTCTCTAGTGTCCCAATAGCGTGTTCTTCTGTCCTTTTGGTATTTGACCCGGCTTGTTATCGACTATTCTAATTTCTGGTTTTGTTCCTTGTGATTGTGTATTTCTGGCTTCCCTTGACCTTGGCTCTTTTTTGACGTTTCTTGTAGTTTTCTCTATATTCCGGGCACTCTAAGGACCGACTTAGAGACTTTCTATCTGTCTCTGTTTCTACTGGTGGGTTTTCACTCTGCGTGTTAGGTTAATGATTACACTCGGGACATATGGCAAGATTTACTAAGATCTGGACCCACTGGCTTTTGTACTTGGCAGTGAGGGCCTTTTTGGCGCTACTCGACAGATAATGAGGCTACTTGTTCTCTATCCTATCATTGTTCTCTTACAGTCACTACTTTATCTTTTATTGAATCTGTCTCTGTAACGGACCGTTTTGCACAAAAGGGGTAAAACCGTTTAGGCGACCGGCCCCCTTTCCAGAGATGCAGGCACAGCTACTGCAGAACACCAAACACACGAACCGCCAATAAGTGAATGCTCCAAACTCCCGAACGGGAACCATACGAATTGCTGCTAGCAGGCGAATAGGAAAAGCATCCAAGCGGCTTAAACTCCTAGCAATCAGTCTCTATCAGCATTCAGTAAATCCCCCCCGAAGACAAGACAAGGCTCCGTGTTGAGGGTCAAGCAGTGGTCTGTTTAATGAGGGCTACCTGCCCAGTATTTATGCAGGTCTCCCACCTGGTGGACACTCCCCTAGGGGACCAAATGGGAGACTGTGACAAGGGACAGACAAGCAGACAAATAGGACACACAGTCACAATATATTCCCACAATGCATCCTGGCTTCCTCCCCTCTGCCCTGGGAGATAATTGAGAAGTAATTCAATTATCTCCCAAGACAAAGGCAAATCTCCATTATGCACGTGGGGATACTAAAACAAGCATTACTGTTAAAATACACCAGGTAAGACACATTACATTAAAACTATACATTTAACATATCCCCAGATAGCTCAGGTCTGAGCGCACATTATTAAGTGAATGGCGCTCAGACCACACAAATACAGTTTAATCGCCATGGAGCCAAAGTCTTTAATTCCACGAACAGGCTCCATGGCAGGCTATCTGGGTACTTGCACACCGAATACAATTGCAGCACTAAAAGTCCCGAATGCTCCGTTGTTCGGTTCCCGAACGGGTTTGCAGACTTCCAGGCTCTGCGGGGCTTGTAAGACAAAAGTGTCCGCTTTTGGTGTCCTGCCGCTGGGTAGAACAGTAGAACAAGCGCTGGCTACCCGGGGAGCTTCCATAACACCGCCATCGTGTGGCGGCTAGGTGTAACCGCGACCACCCAGTAATTGTCAATTAAGCTGCGGTTAACCGCCACTTCAGGGAGGTTAATTGCTGGCACAATCCAGCTCCCAGGTGGTCTATTCATTCGTGCGGTTGTTCAGTAGATTGAATCTACCGAACAACCGGCAGAAAAGCACGAATACAGCTTTTCTGCAGGCAAAACAAAGTCTTTTAACATGGGGGCCATAGTCCAAAGGCAGCAGGCGAGCAACCAGGCTTCTCCAATGCAATGTGGTGAGATTGGTCTCGTCACAGTCTCCTCCAACTTCAGCTTCTCTCCCACCTCCCCTACCCTTCCCCAAATGTCCTCCCATTTCAGACTGGATCGATTCGCTTATTTGAGATTAACGATCAATACCCATGGTACAAAGTTAGTGATGGATTTGCATCTAGCATATTGTTGAAGTTGCTTTGATTTATTACACAGGCATAGACATTTTGAGGGGGCGGCGGGCCATTTTCCCTTAGTCCCCCTGTAACTATTGTCATAATTCTATAAAAAGAAAACTTAAAATGTTAAAGTAAAATAAAAAAAAAATAAAAACCCAATAATAAAAAAAGCTATTTTTCCTAAATGTTGCAAGGCCGTTGTCACCATTGTAAGTCATTCTTTAATGCATAACCTCTGGTTTTTTTCTATATTTTTGTGAGGGAAATATCAACACAACCATCTAGATCCAATGGTAGTACCCTTGCCATCAATTGGCCATTGTCCTTGGTAAAACACACAGATAGCAAAGTAAGTATATCAAAGAGCCCTAAAGAGAGGTTATTAAATTTCATTATATGGAGGGGAAAAGGAAATTCCCAAAGATTTGGCAAAGTAACTCCACTCTTGAAACTCTGGGAATCCCCCTGTACAATTTAACCAAATGAGTATGAAAATGTAACCTCAAGCACCCTTTTCATGTTCTGTTTTACAGGTGTGGAGGAAACGAGGTGTCTTCGGTCTGTCTTATTTCAAATCTTTACATTTTTAATAAAGGTTTTAGATTTCAAAATAGTTTTCTTAAATCTTAGAAGGTGGTTATGTTATTTCACTTAACTCTGTCTCGTTTTTTTGTTAGTTAATATAAACCAATTACTATCAAAATATTCTTCAAATTCTCTCAACAAACCACATATAGAAATTGCTTTAAAAAAAAAAAAAAACAGCCAACAAAGTCCAGGATAATTAACAAGTTTTGGCAATCAGATTATTGATTGCAGTCCCAAAATTTAAAACAATAATAAAAGAGGCACAAATCGTCTATAGTGAAAGAATTCTGTATGTAATAATAATTAACAGGAAAAATCACAATAAAAAATTTATTAAAAGTTTAAACCCTTAAAAATGATCTATTAACACTTTAGGTGAGTATTTTCCTGTATTTATTCGGTGTACATCTAATTATTTTATTATTGAGATTTATTCAGTTACTATAACATTTTTGTTATTGACTAAATTCATACAAATCTGTTTGACCACCCTAATTTTTTTTTTTTAACATTGTTGTGCTAATGTAAGGACTATTTTACTTTTACTATGATTTTATGGTTTTATGTTTCCTTGTTAGAATATCTGAATGTTAATCCCCTGACAGGCAACTTGAAAAAAAAAAATGGATATGGTTTCCTGAAGTCAGCCATCAGTAAAGTTGCACAGTGTTTTGCGAGAATAAGGAAAGGGAATCAGAGGGAAATTCTAAGTTGCACAATGCATGTTTTTTTAATTAATTTGGTTAAGACATTAAAGGGACACTATAGGCACCCAGGCCACTTCAGCTCATTAAAGTGGCCTGGGTGCAGTGTCCCTATTGCACTTAGTCCTGTAATGTTAAACATTGAGGTTCCAGAGAAACTGCAATGTTTACAGTGGCTGCCTCCCAGATAGCCACTGAGGGGAATTTCCTGCATCCAAATGGACCTTTGGTCCGGTATCTGACGCTGGACGTCCTCACACTGTTAGAGGAGATCCAGCGTCAGATTTTTCCCCCCATAGGAAAGCATTGATTCAATGCTATTCTATGGGGAGGTCTAATGCGCGTCATGGGGCGGAAGAGAACATCGGTTCTGGGGTAAGATAAGTAAATAAAGGGTTTTTTCCCTTTTATTCACAGGGGAGTGCAAGGGAGGGGGTAGCAGAGAAGATATAGTGCAAGGAATACAGCTTTATAGTCCTGGCACTTATAGTATCCCTTTAACTAATAACATTTCTTAACTATATTTTTAATACAATCTCTAACTTTTAAAAACTTAAGTCTCTTTAGCAGTTAAACAGTATTAAGGACGAATCACACATGGACGTGATTTGCAAGATTGACCAGTTTGATGCTTTTTATAATGGAGCCTATTGCCAAGTGTCACAAACACCGGGGGTACAACGCCTCTGATAATCCCCTAGTGTTGTGAGCTTATCAGCTGGAGTGTGTGTGCTGCTTAAATGGTGTCTCTATTTTAAACTTCTGTCTCTATGCCCAAGTTCTCCTGCCCCTTATCATTTTCCCATTCCCCGACCCCTGGTGACTTTCATTACCTCTCTCTAAATTTGTGGCAGCTCCTTAGCCTTGGTGTTGCTGTAACGTAAAGT